GGGGGTACCAGTCCCATTTCCCAGCCCATTTTTTTTCGAAACCCCACTTCCCAGTGCTCAAATTCCATTCCCACTAGCAGAATTTGGAAAAAATCCCAGTGTTCTACATACCGCCTCTTTTCGCTTCGCATCCACAAAATTACGGCTTCTAAATACGACCCAACAAAGACCCAAAAATTCACAAGGATTTACAAAGATGTTCTGAAGATAACAGGATCATTTCAGACAGTAATAAAACCTTCAAGTAGCGAGTTTATAGCGATTAGTCCCTGCCACTTCACATTCCTGCCTGCAGGAAATCTGCCATCCGACTTGTAAGTGTTGTTACTCTTCCCAGTCTAGTTGGACGGATCATGTTCATTGTTTCGAGAGCGCTGTCTACCTCTTCTTCAGAGTCACTGTCACTGTCACTCGCACTAAAGCTCTCTACCCGTTCGTTGTTGGGAGACTCTGGTGGTAGCGCCGGCATCCTCTTTTGAATTAGGTGGCTCATCACTTTCGCTTGGAACTCTTTCTACGCCTATCAGTGAATTTAAATTGACTAATTTTAAGACCGTTTCAGTTTCATATAAGTTCAGAGGCAAAGTGCCCACCCTGTCCATTGTGTTATCTTGTCTTACATTTCGTTGTCTGACGGATTTACCATGCATTTTAGCCCATGCCCTCATTTCAGCTTCCTCGTTTCTGGTTATCTTCTGTGAGGTTGGCTGTGGAATTTTGATGTGAGGTAAGGAAACTACATGTGATGTTGGCAGTTTGTAATAGGAATTTGGATGTGTGTAGTATGCTGCTGCCCACTTAGAAACTGCTTCTTCAACTGATGTGCAAAACATCGTTGCATATTCGTACAATGTAAAAGTGTCTCTCTTAAAATGTGCTCCCGCCATGTTGTTTGTATCATACAAATACACATGCCATGTAGACTTTTGGTTTTACACGCACCGCTGTACACAAATATCGTTGACCGCAAATCGGGGCCATTCGGGGGAAACCTAGATAAAAATGCTAAAAATTGACTAGAACAAGGTGCATTAGTAATTTTCTGACGTTTCTTAACCCCAGGAAATAAGTGATGCCTAGACTGGTCATGGTTCCAAACTATTTATCCCCCATTCCCATTTTTGACATTTTATTCCCATTCCCAGTGACCAAATCCCAGTCCCAGTGGCTTAAATCCCATTTTCCCTTCAGGACCCTCATTATACTGAATAAAATATTTGAGTATTTTTTTTTGGGGTGGGGGGACGACAATCCACTCTTATCTCAAAAGTTTTTAAAGTCACTTATATTTGCTCTGAAGTCACTTATATTTGCTTTGGAGTCTCAGTAGCATGAAACGACTGAACATTAAACAAAAAGACGACAATTTTTCTTGTGTATAATCTTATAGACCATAAAAATGATATTAAAATGTTAAAAGCTCAAGTGGTTTAACTACAAAGTTTTGAACATTTTGACGTCACGCTTTGGATGTCTATCCGGATGGTACAACGACACACTTACCTTCAGAAAAGCTGCTGTAATGGATTCCCCGCACGAAGGACACGGCTGAGAGCGGTACGGACATTCCCGTTCGACATGTTGCTGAAGGTATGCTCTTCTTACCCACTCGGAGCAGTCTTTGTTTGTACAACGTTCCTCTTTGTAAGGGCAAGACGAAAGATGTTTCTACAAGAAATATTGGAGGAGAATTAGTTAGTTTGACAAGCCAGAAAACTATCTTCAATTAATGCTTCTTTGATTGCTACTAGTACCACGGCGTCGCCTTTTAAGGGTCGTTACCTGGCGATAGAAATGTAGTGCATGACATATCGCATGCCCAAAATATGAAAGAAGAATATTGACTATGAGTTGGTGCCGTGGTGATTACAAAGATGTAGAAAAAGGTATTAGCTATGATCGCGTGGGAAAGTCGACGCCGACTTAAAATGCTCTAATAAAGAAAGTCTTTTCCCCTAATAGCAAAGTGTTAATTATTATACACTTAATGTCAGATCTCGAGGGAAACAGTTACTTTTGTTTTCCCGAGAGTCCTGATGTTTCCGTCGACTACGTCTCGGGAAACATCAGGGGCACCCAACGACAATTTTCGGAAAATATATCTGTTCGGAAGACGATTTGAGATCTACAATTTTCGGAACATTTGTTGTAGAATTTCTTGTTTGCCTACCTCTCCTAGGATTTTCGAACATCTAAAAAATGGTATAATTGCCCATTTTTAACGGATTTTTACCTCAGAAAGGTCACCTAGAATTTTCGGGAACCTTTTTTCGGGCTGAAATTTTCGAAAAGGTAAGTTTTGATCCCTATAATTTTCGGATCACTAGACTTTCAGCTAGGAAATGCGAACAGATGAAAAATTTTTAGGGGATAAAAATAAGCCTATATCTACCGTTTAAATACTAATATACGTTCAACAATGCTATGTTTAAGTGGTTTTGAACTATATTCTCGTTGGGTGCCCCTGAAACATCAGGACTCGAGGGAAAACAAAACTAACTGGTTTCCCGAGGGACCTGAAATTAAGTGTTTTGTTATATTTCTGGACTTTCACTTCAACAGCAACAAAAGAATAACTGGAGCGAACCAAAACAGTCGACTCGGCACTTATAAGAACACTTATAAGAACACAAATTTAATTCTCAAAACCACTGAATGAATGATTTACAACGTACTTTCCTTATCTTATCTGCATCTTTTTCTGCACTAGCAGCTGTTTCTCTTCTGGGATAAGTTTGAAAATCGTTTTTAGCTTGAGGCCCCGTGGTTGTGTTCTTGTGTTCATTTATGAAAAAAAAAAAAAAAAAAAAAAAAAAAAAA